GGTGACCCCAGCATTCATCCCTGCCTGTGGCAGGGGGTCAGGCTAGATGATCTGTTCAGGTCCCTCCTGACCCTAGCTACTATGAAGTCACCTCTCAGTCTTCTCTTACTCAAACTGAATAGGCCCAGTTCTGGGAGTCTCTCCTGATAAGACCTATCCCTCCAAACCCCTTATATGGGTGGCCCTTCTTTGTAGCCTCTCAAGCTTATCCACATCCTTCCTGAAGTGTGGTGCTCAGAACTGGACACAGTGCTCCAGCTGTGACATTACCGATGCCGAATAGAGAGGGAGAAGCAAAGCATCCCCCTGAATTTACTGGCAACACATCAGCCAGAGCTGTATTTGGCTCATGTTCATCTTCCAGTTGACTGTGACCCCCAGGTCCCATTCAGATGCTGTGCCAGCCAGTGAACCACCACCCATCGTGTAGTTATGGTGAAGGTTCTTCCTACCCAGATGACGAACCTGCACTTCTCTCTCTGTTAAACCTCATCTGATTCTGCTCCACCCATAAAACCAGTCTGTCAAGGTCACTCCTGGATCCTTACCCTATTCTCTGATGTGCCCGCATTTCCCCACAGCTTAGTATCATCTGCAAACTTAAGAACTGTCCAGCTGCTGGTCACAGAGGGCCTCTCCAACTAATATCCTGAGTTTGCCAAAGTCTGCCCTTCTGAAGTCTAGGACTTCTGTTCTACTAACTGATTTCCCAGCCTTTTGGTGGATGGTGAACCTAATCATATCATGATCCCTGTCTCCCAGAGTACCTCCAATCCTCAGGTCGCCTATCATGTCCTCCCCCTTTGGTCAGCACTAAATCCAGGGTGGCCTTACCCCTAATAGGCCCTTCCACAACCTGTCAGGAACAAATTGTCTGTAGCTGCAAAGACATTAGCTCACATGCTGGAGCTGGCCAAATGGTCCTCCCAGAAAATGTTAGGGTAGTTGAAGTCACCCATGACAATCATGTCTTTAGTGCCAGCTGCTTCAGTCAGTTCCCCAGAGAATGCCTGATTGCTCTCCTCTTCTTGGGAGGGAGGCCTGTAGTAGACTCCCACCATCAGGTCTCTCTCTCCTGATCTCCCTTGTATCTTGACCCAGAGGGTCTCAAGAGACCCTTTCTTGCTATCAAACATGACCTGCAGGGAGGAGTACTGATCTTTCACATAGAGGGTCACACCTCCTCCCTTCTTCCCAACCCGATCCTTTCTATAAAGCCTATAGCCCTCAATATCTACTGCCCCATAATACGTGTTGCCCCACTAGGTCTCCATCAACCCAATGATGGCAAATTCCTTGTCTACCAGGAGTGCCAGTGCTTCCTGTTTATTTCCCATGCTTCTGGTGTTCCCATAAAGACACCTGAGTTCTCCCCTAGTCACCTCAGGTTTTCTGTCACTTGTCACTCTGCCAGTATCTCAGGACGTTAGTACCTATCTGGGGGTCCACTACGTGAATGCCCTCTCTTGTGTCATCGTGGCCAGAGGATCCATGTACAGCAGTAAAATGGAGTAAAATGCTTTCCTGATCCTTCTTGATCCCAAATGTGGCAACTGGTCTGATCCTGAATGGAGCAGCAAGACACCCTAGCCAGGAATCTCTGTTTTTTTAGGTCTCAATCTAAATCCCCAGTCTTGGCTGCAGCCAACACCCAATGCTTCTGAGGAAGGGGAAAACAAAACCTTGACACCTGTAGCAGCAGCAACAGCAAATATTCCTTACCAGAACTAGGCTCAGAAGTGTCAGAACACCCTCCATTCTGTTCTGCCATCTGGGGACCCCACACATCAAAACTCCCCTTTCCACCCTCTAATCTTCTCCATAAATTTATTCCAACCCTTTTCATCTTTTTCTATAATTAAGCCAGTTGTGGAGCTCTGCTTCATTCTCCTGCTACTAAGCATGGTCCTTTCCAATTTCCATTTGCTCTGTGCTGGAGAACTCTTCTCATGATATCTGAGTAACGCATGTGTGGTGGTCTCCCCACTACCACTCTAGATTCCTTCTGCATCTCACCTCCCAGCTACTCCTGACCCCTCTGCATCCCATCCCAACCCAGCCATCCCAGGTTCTTCTGCACCCCATATCCAAACCACACTCCGCTGCAACCTAATCTCTACCTCCTTCATCCCATCCCCTCTCCTGTGCCTTCACATACCCAACTCCAATCATATTACACTCTTAGAATCTCCCCAAGATGGAGGTATACCCCTAACCCCACATAGCAGAGACCCAGAGCCTTTGCCAGCAGGCAGCACAGGTCAGGCACAGCATCATTTAGTTTGGGAGAAAGCACTGATCAGGTGCTATGTACCATCTTATCCAATATGTCTTCATCCTCAATTCTGCTCAGTTCTTCAGCACTCAGCTTGCTCCTTTTGTCCAGCTCCTTCACCTGAGCCTTCTCTATCCCATTGGACAGCTCTGGTTTCTTCCCCATCACCTGGGGCTGCTCCACCAGCTCAGGGTCCATCTGCAATGAGAAAAGATGGGTAGTAGAGCAGCTCTTTCAGTTTTACAGCCTCCTGTGCTGCCAGGGTCCATAAAGTACTGGACAAAGCACAGATGCTGGTAGCACACACCCTGCCCCACAGCACATGAGGCCCTGAGGTTCGAAGACCCTGCAAAACACCAAAACTGCCCAAGACTGATGCAAGACAATAAATTAAGCAACACAGCTCTGAAAAAAAGATGTGGCAAATCACATTCACTAGCGTTCAGGGCCTTGGCTTTCCCGCTTACATGACACAGCAGCGTCAGAACCACTGTAAGCCTGGCACTATGCTGTGGCATATTAGTTCAGGAATAACAAGGGAGCAGAGCACCACCTACCAAGTGCTTTTTCCTACCCCCACCCCCCTTCCTAACAACTCCAAAGAAATTCCTCCAGTCACAACTGGGGGGAGGGCGGGGAAAGAATTTCCAGCCACAATCTCTACCATTCTCCCAGCCTTTCCTCTCAGATCCCAAAAGTGCCCTACGAACACTGAGAAGAACTCAACTGGGAATCACTTGGGACCATCTACATGCCTCCAGAAGGAATGAAAGTAGAGTCACAACCTGCCCAAGGCTGACAGCACAGCTGGGAACACAACCTAGGAGTCCTGACTTGTAGTTTTGTGCCTCAACCATGGAACCATATTCAGCTACCTAGAAACATTAGGACAATGTCACCTCACATGAGATGTCATGGCAGATAGGTAGGTGTTACCCCTGCTGAGAGAAGGGGGGCTTCTCTGCACTCATATCCATCTATTCTTCACCCCAAAGAGCACAATGGTCCCTGAGAGAGAAATAGAAAAGCCAAGTGATAGGCTGCGTCACTCAGCTGCAGCTACAGCATGAATGTGAGGACCAACCAGCCCGGCAAAAGCTTACAGTATAAAACATGTGCCAGGTAGCCATACTACTCCCGGTAAGGAGGGGGCCTGCAGCTGGGGCCAGTCAGGCCCACTGTTCATCAGTACAACTGTCCAGGGCTGCAGAAGACAGGGCCCACTGCCCCCTGGCTGAGGAGCCATTGGCATGGAACTGGAGAGGTCAGTGTGCACCACTAGCCCCAGCAAAGGATTTCTAAGGAGATTAAAGAGCTTATCAGAAAGAGGATCCTGTGCTAGGGATCAGGAGCCACCCTGGCATCTCTGCAGAGGAACTAGGCCAGCCCAGCCTCCTCCAGGATGATCATTGATCACTGCAGTGCCAGTTCTCTGTCAACATGACCCCCAAACAATGTATGCCAGGCAGCCAGCCAGGCCCAAAATAGCACCACAAAGGACTTGGGGGGTGGGGGGGAGATAAGGGCAGGGGAGTAGGAAGGAGCAAACTACCAGCAGTGGGGAGGCTCCATTCATATGCTCCAGAGGCCACCTCTGTTCCCCAGGGCACTTCCCATAAGTGAAAAGTCTGGGTGTTGCTGAGTTAAGCTCCCCTTGCCTGCTCCAGCAATGGCTCGGTCTTGGCAGTGGGACAGGACTTCCCTTGCAGAAGCCCCCCTGCTAGCCCAAGGTGCCACGTGGAGATGACAGTGGTAGGGCTGCAACCTTGGAAGCGCAGGGTGATGCACAGGTCTGACACTGAACCCAGCAACTCTCTCATTCTCTTTTGGCCCAGTCTGTGCTGCCAAGTGTGTGTGATATGCTGGCAGCATGGTGTCTCCAGGGGACAGTGAGGTCCCTCATTTGGCTGAACAGCCTGCTGGGAAAGGATTAGCTTGGCTTATGGTACCAGGAGACCAAGTGTCAGGATTTCTCAGCAGCCCTAGGGACAAATTATCAGTTCCCTTTACAAGAAGTGGGTGAGGAATCTGAACCAATGCCAATAACGGGAGCCAGAGGAATGCAGGCAAATGCCTGTCCTACCATTAATGTGCAGAAGTCTTATTAATACTTATATTAAAGCTGACTATCCTATACTTGGGGACAAGCACACATGTAGCATCCAGGGCAAGGTCCCACTCACACTGACCCAGCCCAGAGAGACTCTGACTACACAAAGCACCCCAGCCCCTGCAGGGGAGCACAGCTCCACAGCGGAGGGACTGGGCCAAAGCCAATGTAAAGAAACCCAGGACAGCTGTCACCAAAGCCCACCCACCCACCCCACATACACAGAGGCAGCAATGCCCCAGCACAACAGGCTGCTGGTGGCATGTTAGGAATGCATAGTGGACAGTCTGGATTGGCTCTGGGGAATGGCAGCTCTGGCTGGCACCGTTTTCCCCAGCAACAGGCTATAATCTTCTGTACCAACCTCACTATTCCCCCATGTCACTGTGCTTGCTGGGGCCAGAAGCAGCCTTCCACCCCTCAGGAACAGCTGTTCCTCACTCAGGGATCTAGGCTCAATGTCAACAGAAGGTACATGCCCTTGTTTGCCTCACATTAGGGTAGTCAGGGACATAGGCCCTGAAGGGGAGAGGGGACATGAGATCCCAGCAAAAGGTGTTCAGAGCAGATTCATGGATTAGTTAGTGGTGCTTGGAGAAGGGAGGAGCCCAGTGCTTTGCAGGAGCTGACCAGAGCATATAACAAGGGCAGGCTGGAGACACACTCCCTCCCCTAGCTCTATGCCCCAACCATGACTGCCCTTCCCCTACAATGGGGAACACAGCGCAGCCACCCACCAACCCTCCGATGACCTTCAGGGAAACCCCAGTTGTGAGAACTGGCCTGGTAACCTGTTCCCCTTCTCTGTGCCAATCTGTCCCTGCCCATTCCCTAGAGCCTGCAGACTCACAAAGCTGTTGCTCCTGGAAAGATGCACGGAGGGCCTGCGAGTGCTGGAAAAGGTGGGTGGGTGTGCCACAGGGCAGCTTGGTTCCTCAGTGCCTGCGAAGTCGGCACAGGGATCCTGTGACTCCAGGAAGAGGGTGCTGAGGTCCTTCTCCTCCAGCTCCTGAACTCCCAACCACATGGTGAGTTTCTCTAGCTGCTGGCTGAGGCGTGCCTGCTCTGCCTGCAGCACCAGGTGCTCTTCCTTCAGGTCATTGAGAGCTCTGGCCAGGGGCTGCACCTGCTGCAAGGCCTCCTCCAGGCGCTTCTCCACTGCCAGCTGAAATTCCTGCAGGTCCAGCTGGATCTCCTTCAGTCCTGCCACCTTTGCATTGTCTAGGCTGACTCCAGGCATGGTGCTGGCGAGGTTGAGGCGCAAGAACAGCAGAACCCTCCCGGCCCTCAGTGGGCTCCCAGGCACTGAGATACAAACAGCACAGCCAGGCAACTCTCAATACCAGGTTCAGAGCCACTCTGTAAACTCCCAGCCCCTCAGAGCTGATCTTACCCCTTTTATAGGGGCTCAAATGGCTCTGTCCCTCCCCTGCAGCAGAAGGCTGGGCTAAGCCTGCTGCAGGGCTTGGGATTCATGCCCAGCTATTCTTATCACGTAGGGATGGGGGCTCCCAGATACAGTGAAGGGACATCCCAGGAGCTCGGTGGGGGAGGTGCTGACACTTTGGATAGTTCCCAGCCCAGGCTGGGCAGTGACAGAGCCAAGCCAAATGGCTCGCTAAAGGGGTTTTCTCTGGGACATGCAACCTAACATGGGACAAGAACTAAACAGGTTCCTTATGTGAACACGTCCCACCCACTCACCCCAGGGTTTTGAGTCCCCCATGCTGCTCCTTGGGGATGCGCCTTCACTGCTAAGGTGTTACAGTTGCTGTTTGAGTGCGCTGATCAAAGCGCGGGCTCAGGCAAGCTATCCAAAGCACTTCGAATGCGCTTTGGACAGCTTCACTTACAGTTAGAAGAGGGGTGGGGGAGCGGGAGGGAAGACTGACATGTGTAGGTGGTCAGTGAGAAGGATTTCTCCCTGGCTGCCTTTCCAATGACAAGGTGGGACTAGAAACAGCATAAAAGCCTCTGTTTGGAGACATGCTGTGTCTTTCCCCAGCTTGTTCCCTGTCAGCAACTGTGTGACAGAGGAATGCTCAGACTGAGGCATTGTGGCATCCTGGCTCAGTACTTGTTGAACTTGCCTGCTCCTTTTTCTTGTTACAAAGGAGTGGGTAGGATTTAGCTTAGCTTAGCTATTCTATTCAATTATTATTAGTATTACTATTCAATTTATTTCTTTGAATTTATATTTGCTCTTTTTTTTGGGAAACGTTGAAAAAAGAAAGGTGTGTTTTCCCTGCCAGTGTGATCTATCACTGTGCAGGTAGGCACAGATTGCTTGCACGCACACACACAGATACACAGACAATATAGAGAAAAATCAGATATTCATAGCAGAAGAAGACAGACAGACAGAGAGCACACAATTTTTACGTAACCCTTAACACTGAAGCAAACAATCAAAGAGGCCAGTGCATGCACGCAACAGAGGGAATAAAATGCATAATACAAAAGGATTCGCACACACAGAGACCTTTTGCAACACAGGAAAGATCAATATGAAGCGTGCTGGAAAGGCAGGTGCCAGGTCTTCTGGCAGGGGAGGGAGAGGGGGAGAGCTAGAGCTGCAAGCCTCCCCCAAACACAGACACATTCTATTCCCGAGCAGCCACGACATCGGTGCTGCCAGTGGAAGGCAGGAGGGGGGGGCAGTGTCTGGCACCTGCACCACCTCCCCTCAGTCCAGAAGTGGGCACCAGCAATGGAATCACTGTCTCCTGCACCCCAAGTTCAGCTCTCAGCGTGAGCCTCCCACTGCCAGAGGAGGAGCTGGAGCTGGAATCAGGGATGCTGAGCGCACTGGCTCAAGCAATTCTGGGGACTAAGGGGGAATCACAGTTTGTGCTCCACACCCCTCACGTTTTCCCTAGACCCAGGTCTCCTCCGGAAAGCAGCACCTTGGAGGAGAGGCTGAGGTTGTGGAGGCAAGTGGCTCAGCTGAAGCAGCTCCTCTTGCTGCTCAGCCTCCCTGCTGACAAGGGGGAAAAGGCAGGATCCTTGCCCTCAACCCAGAAGCAGGGGAGTAGTGTAGTGTGGGAGCATTTTGAGGTGGCAGATGATCCCAGGTTTGCCACAGCAA